AAAAAAAAAAAAAAAAAAAAAAAAAAAAAAAAAACTACAAAATTTCTCTAAGGTTATTTTGTCCCCTCTCCCTTGGTCCAGTAGGAGGTGCCCTTCACTCTCAACTAACACTTAGGAGGGAAAAGATTCTCAAATGAAAAAAAAAAGCGCTCCAGCTATATGGGCAAAGAAGAGAGGGAAGATACAGGTTGCCAGTTATGTATTTATAGAAAGATAATCCCCTGGCTTTAAATAGATATATACATACAAATATGAACAAACTTAAAAAAATACAAACCCTTGGATCATAAGGGGGCTGCCGGGAGCCCCTCTATCCTTCCCCCTCACCCAAGGGCAGAGAGCGTGAATCTGTTTTTTAAAAATTATTAGTTTTGGCCATCCCTGCAGCAACAAGCATGAAGTTGGGTGATTACCCACAAGGTGAGAGTTCCCACTCTCTGAACTCTATGTATCTCCTATAATTAGGGTTACATGCTTTCTCGTTCTGCCATTTTACTAGTATATTGGGGCAAAGGAGGGGGTTCCCTCCTGAAATGGGTCAAGAAATAATACAGACACGTTTAAAAAGAGGGGGGAAAGTGTCATCTGCTGTAGAAGCAAAAGACAAAAGACAAAGGCATACAGATCCCAGGGAATTACCCAGTTCCCACACTACTATGGGAGATATCGTCCAGCCCAGGTCCAGGCCCTAGGTTCTTTGTTCTAGCCACCCCCTATTTCTTTGGTATTGTCAGAAGACAAGATTCAGTTCCTGGGTGCTGGTGGAGGAGGGAAAGTGGTTCCAGGGCTTCCTATAAGTACTGAGTGAACAATTTGAGCTTAAAATTTTCCCTTTTTTAAATATTTAAAAATAAACAAATCAAACTCCATCCTGTGCTGTACACAGCCCTTTTGACTCCCTGACATTGATCTGAGGAAAGAGAGGGGGTCTCAACGTTGGAAAGGCCTCCTCACTTTCTTCCGCCTCTTCGGTTTGGCTTCTCCCTTGGGTACTGTGCTGTTGGGCTTGGAGGCTGCAGTGGCCCCAGGGCCCGGCTGAGGAGCTGCAAAGAAGTTCCCGTTGGACATCTGGCCTGGGGGTACTTGAAAGATCCGGCTCAAGAAATCCTGAAGGTCAGCAGGAGGGGCATCTGGGGTAGCTCTGACAGGAAAACAGAAGACATGATGAAGCAAGAGATACTGGAGTCAAATGGTTACCTATGTTACCTATTTATACCTATTTTAAAGATATACTGAGTCAGTTCCCAAACTTCTTATAGGGTGAGACACCTACATGTCCTAAACAGCATGTCATGAAACCATGTTCAGAACTAGAACAGTGGATAGATTATTGAGAGGAATACCACCTACCTCTGTCGCCCACTGGTGCCCGGCATCCGTGAACCAAATGAGATGTGATAGGGGACTCTGTGGGTATCTGGGGAGATTCCCACACGCTGGCATCCAGCCCACTCTGCAAGCATGAGAGATAATTAGCCAAAATATCACAGTTTGGGCTGTGATATCACAGATGGGCTGGATATATGAGCCCATACTTCCAGAGGAGAGAAGTATACCTGTGATGTCATACACCTTTCCATCCATCAGCGCAAAGTAGGTGATCTTGAGGCCCAACATGCTTGACTCTGCCCAAAAGTCTCCTTCCTCAGCAGGATGCAGCCTATTACACTCAGCACAGTATCTGGCACTCTTAGGTTCCCGATCCATTTCAAACCTCCTGCAATCCAACAAAAGGACAGCTCCTTAATAATCTATCAAGCTTACCTAGAGCATTGCTGTAGTCTCAATTACTGACATATCATTACTGACAAACATGGTTACTGACTCAGTTGTTACAAATGCCTATGTACACCCTGCCCTCAACCTTCTATCTTAAAGCTAGAACTATTATCTTTTCTTCTTGCTAATTCAAATCCTCAGTCTCTTAACAATATGGCAAAAGTAGAAACCTCAGGGTCTTCTTACTTACCATCTGGATCCCACAACTACCGACAATACAAGGAAGGTTTTTAGCTACCCAATCCCTAAACTGTGGCTGTCCCACTCCTGTCCTATTTAAGTCATACCTATGCTTTCCCTGGCATCGGCTGCACATCATAGTATTCATTGCTTCTTTGAGGTCGTCCTGCAGCTTGGACAGAAACTCATTCACTGACCGGCTCAGCTCATTCTCTGCCATTCGCTTCCTGAGAGAAAAAAGGCTTTGTAAGAGAGTATTGAGTGAGGGACAAAGGGAGACACATCTATTGGCTTCCTGAGGCCCCTGGCCAGCTAGACAAGCCACCCCAGTTCTCTCTGCCTCAGAGACCCTCCATCCATAAGTCCAATGATCTCTGCTATTGAAGATTATTCATTTACCCCACCTGACAATTTCCTAGCTCCAACTTACATCTCATATTCCTTCCGTCTTTCAGGGTTGCTGACAATGTCCCAAGCTGCCCGCAAAACCTTGAAGGCCTCCTCAGCCCGAGGATGATTATTTTTGTCAGGATGAACCTACCAAAACACAGATTTCATCACATATCCATTCCAACCCTCTCCCCATTTTGGGTCAAGATAACCTCATATCAAAGGGTTCTCCTTCACCACCCTTTTGAAGAGTCAATATAGCTTAATGGTTAATTGCTGTGGCTCTGCAGACAGATCTGGGTTTAAGTCCCAGCTCTGTCACTTATTAGCTGTATGACGTAGAATATTTTATCTATCATGGATTGTTGGGAGTATTAAAGGAGAATACACATGAAACATATGGCACAGAATCTGGCACTATCGCGATCTGCGATCCCAGTGTGCCTGGGATTGTCCCAGTTTTAGCACTGAAATTTCTTGTCTCAGGAAACCTTTCAATCCCAGGCAAGCAGGGATGGTTGGTTTAGTACGTGTGTGCCTACCTGGCACACACGCACTAAACCCTCATATTTTAACTTTATTGTCAGTCATAAAGTTAAGAGTTCCAACATACTCAAACTCTATTTTCTAACTAGGAAATTCTCATATATACTCAAAACTTCCTACAGTAGTTTGCCTTTCTGTCCCAGGAGTGAAATATTGATAACATACCACGATCCTCACAGGCTTTTTATCCACTTTTCAGCCTTTTCTCCAAGACAAATAATATCCTCACTTCCTACAGCTTCCTGATTGTTCCCATCCACATACACCAAAAACAGAGATAAAGCTATAGTCTCTTGACTGAGGCCAAATAAACAGAATGCTATTAAATCTCTCACATGCCCAAACTTATAGAATGTGGGTAATGGTCAATTTAGGGCCTATTAAAGGCAGTGAGAGGTTGTATAAAAGAAGCCCACAGGGACTTGCCTGGTGGTCCAGTGGTTAAGACTCTGTGCTTTCAACGCAAGGGGCACGGGTTCAATCGCTGGTCGGAGAACTAAGATGCCACATGCCATGTGGCACGGCCGAAAAAAGAAGCCCACAGATACTGTGGCCCAGAACAAGAGGGAGAACTTTGGATAGTAGGGTAGGTCTACTGAGGATCAGGGAACTTTACTACAGCTCTATTTCAAGGACGTAAGTTGAAAATGAGAATTTTTGAATGATACTTCCCAAGAGAGGATGTCTGCTAAAAGACATGAAGGTGAGAAAAGAACTCTACCATTAGTAACAATGTGAGTGTGAACACTCTTCCCCACTCTCAGAATATCCCAGGCCATCCACTAAGGGGCATACATTTCCCACCAAACTATTGATAATTTAGTCCTCTGGTAAGTTACAGGCCTGGTACTTTATTGTGCCTTGAATGGTCAATGGAAACTTTGGTTGCCCATTCCCCTTTAGTGTCATGCAACCATTGAGATAATTTACACACTGATATTTTACCAGTCAAGTTCCATACACTCAAATAGGCCTCCAATGCAATTTACACACATTACTTACATTCATAATAGCTTTACCTGTATGGAAATAGCATATCTAAAAATAGCATCTGAATAGCTACTTCTTTTCTTTTTTTGTTTGTTTTTTTAAGATGTTGGGGGTAGGAGTTTATTAATTAATTTATTTTTGCTGTGTTGGGTCTTCATTTCTGTGCAAGGGCTTTCCCTAGTTGTGGCAAGCGGGGGCCACTCTTCATCGCGGTGTGCGGGCCTCTCACTATCGTGGCCTCTCCTGTTGCGGAGCACAGGCTCCAGACGCGCAGGCTCAGTAGCTGTGGCTCACGGGCCCAGTCGCTCCATGGCATGTGGGATCCTCCCGGACCAGGGCTCGAACCCCTGTCCCCTGTTCCAGCAGGCGGATTCCCAACCACTGCGCCACCAGGGAAGTCCCTGAATAGCTACTTCTAAAAGCAATTTGACTGCATGCTTGTATTAAGCTATTTCCCTCGAGCATGATAAGTCACAACTCCCACCTATACACCCTTACCAGTAAAAGCAACCATATTTTCATGTATGACCTGAAAATGTATGTACATGCCTCTCCAAGAGTTATGTCCCATTCTCCTTCCCTTTCCCACTCTGGGTTGCTGGTCTTGAAACAGCTGTTTTCTCTCACCTGGTCCTGGAATAATCACTCACATGTACTCCCTGAACGTTCCCACACTAGTCCACACTTGCCTCACTGCGACAGACAGTTGGATTTCCCTGTATTCAAAAAACCCTCATTTGTTTAGGAGAGAAGAACTGCCAGGCTTTCTGACTAGGTCTCTTCTCCACCCTACTCAGAAGGATTTCACCTGGATATTCCAGGTGAGT